TGTAAGGTTTTTCAAAATTCAAGTCATGAGAGACTGTCATGCATGTGTCATCTAATTTTTTGACATTTTGCTTTTTAATTTATTTATGGAAAAAAAAAATGAAATCTCTTTCAATAACTTTAGCAATTAGCTCTATCAATTTAATAACTAATTTTTATGTAAATTAATTCAAAAAATTACAATTAATTGTCTAGTGTACATTTCTATAATTCTTATGTAAATTTATGTATAGAAAATTTATAATTTATCTATCAAATTCAACAATATACTATACAAAAAAATGTTTAAAACTTTGGTTTTTATATAGATAACTGTGATTATAAAACAAAAATTCACAAAAAAAAATTTCTAATCAAAAGAAGCATAACAAGAACAAAAAAAAGATGATGTGAGACATTTAATTTAAAGAATGGTTTTATGACTTTAAAGCTGTTACTAAAACCTAATTGGAGAAATTTAGACTTTTAACGTTTTTCAAAAGGTTTTCATAGCTTTCAAAGCCAATATATACCAATCACCCCCTAATGCAATCAAAATAATTTGTGTTGGACAAAATAACGCTCCTAACCAAGACTCTCAAAATAAAACTTTACTCCATCACAAATTGTAAATCCATAAAAACAAAATCACTTCGCCAATGAATCGATGTGAAAGATAATAATCACGTACAATCAACAGATAAAGTGAGACACAAATACAATCAAGCATCAGTTATTCTTTCCTTATGATTCAAAATTTTAATGAAATAAATAAAAAGATGCATTCCAACACCTCTGTTGAGATGATACAAATGTCTTGGTAGAAGCAAAACATATTATAACTTGTCTAATCAATAGATTTTTACAAACGTATTTGATACAAAAAAAGACGACCAATCAATTTTTTTAGAAAACCGTAATGAATATTGATAAAAACATACAAGTTAAAGATTTGTGTCAATTAAGATGTTTTTCATATGTTGTAACGATCTTTTTTTTGTTTGCATACAACATTGTATATGTACAATAAATTGCTATAAATGCTTAGTTTTCTAACTTAGATAATTATTTATTATAAACACCAAATTTATATGACATTAAATACACATATAATTAATATACCAGAAATTATTGCATATTTTTACTATGTTAATTTTCAAATCCCATACAACCCGTGAGCCATTGTATTAATATATTTTGTGTAAACAAACGGTTGGAGGAGAAAAGGATGGAACTTGAGACTTGCTCTTTTAATTAATTGTTTTCTAATTTTTTATTGCTCATTAAATTAGAAAAATTCTTAGAGTGATCTTTTTGGTATAGCGTGTCAGCCTGAGAGTAATTTTAGAATTTTTTCCTGTAAGTTTTGTTTTTTATCGATTGGTCACTAATAACTCTGTTTCTTCTTTCTAAGACAGAGAGAGAAAGAAAGAGAAAAGATGACATTGCAGCATGCTAAGAGATTCATCTTCGAGGTTGAGCCTGCTAAGGAATCCTCCGATGGAAAACCTTCTGTTGGTCCTGTCTATCGTAGTACTTTCGCCAAAGACGGATTCCCTAACCCGATCCACGGTATCGATAGCTGTTGGGATATTTTCCGGTCAGATTCTCTTTCCCTTATTTGTTTTTTGTTTATGAGAATAATGTGATCAATGTGATTAGAATTATCACGAATAAATTCAGACTAATCACTGGGGCATGTAGAAAACCTGGTATTCTTGTCATTTAAGGTGTTTGTCGTGGCAAAGAAGGAATCCTTTTTGCTGCATTGTTGTTTTGATATGTGATTGTTGCATTGTAATTTTGAATTCTGCGATTGTGTTTGATCCGTTTGTTGTGATTAACGTGTAGAGAATGCGATTAGGGAATTTGTAAGAATCATTATGTAAATCCTTTCTTTTCTATGTTTTAGATCCTTAATCATTATCATATTTTAAATGGATTTTTCTATGGGATTTCTTAGAAGATTTATTTTCCAGATCACATCTGTTTTAGTTAGTGCCCATGTGTATTTGTTTCTACAAACACTGAATTGTCTTAAGTAACTTCTAAATTGCTTACAATACTTGTAATTGGTCGAATAAAGATTTTGATCTTATG